CCCCCTCTCAATTGTTTTGGCACTCCCATTCTGACAACTTTATTTGTTTACTCTCGTATCCCTCACTTTCTCTTGAGCTCTACATATTTATTTATTTATTTTTTTCGTGGGCTTCACAATTGTCTCCGTCATCCATCTTCTCGTCCTTGACACTGCTGCAAACAATCTTTTGATTTGTAGTCACCAGTCATCAATCATAACATATCTATGTTTGCATATATCTATAATCGGTCTATCAAGATACATTAAACTGAGAAGATTTTCACCAACCTGTATAACCCAATGTTTCCAAAGTAGTCTTCACTCCCTGAGCGCATTGGCTCGGCTAGCTAATTTAAATAGTCATCCTTTGATCTATACATGTTGAAAAATTCACATTTTATTCATATTATATGCAAATGTTTACTATATATTTATATTCAATACAACTATTGCTAGTTTCATAATGCATGATATGTAAGTACCATATTTATTATATTCAATTAAGGTAATGTGCATGAGAGTAAATCTTTCTATCACATGGATCATTTAAAAAATCTTAGAATTTTAAATTTATTCGTAATTAGTCATGATAAAGCCATCCACTTCACATGAAAATTCATTATGAATATTAAAAGTATCAATGAGAAGGTGCAACGCATAAATTATTCTAAAAAAAAGACTGGCAATCTACTGAATATCTAAGTAACTTATTATGCTGGTTCTATTGACTTCAACAACTTTCTTTGGCCTTAAAGCCATTTTGCTAACAAGCTCTATTGTTGGCTTAGTGGCTTATTATGATCCTTGTTCAGGCTGCCAATGGAGAGTTCTCTAGTGCTTCTCGTTTAAGCCTTTGCCCGCCTTAGCAACCATTGTTGTGTATCATTGGAGCCTTTAAAATAAAAAAATCATACTGAAATAAAATGCAAAAAACTAATATTTTCTTTGATCTTATCCTTCACGTGAATCTTCCATCTAAGTAAACAAATATTCTATTGGTGATACTAATTCGGACTAATTGTGAAGATTTAAGGGGCCAATTTAAGCATATTAAATAATTTGAGTCTAAAATGGCTCCTTTTGAAAAGTTAAAAAGTTATTTTATCCATCTCCTAGCCAATTTTAGATAGAGTGCTATAGCTTTTTCAGTTGTCTTCTCTTTGACCCATATCTCTTTTAAGTTTTAAATTTATTTTTCATCCAAACCGTTAATATTTTCTTGCTTCTCTAAAGAGTAATGCTCAAACACAATGACGATCAAAGTTACTACAAATGAACTCTTCTAACTCTATTTGCCTTGATGACAACAAATACAAATTCGCAAAATTTTGAACTTCAAATATTTTGAGAATCGGCATCCTGATGTAAGATTTTTTCTTGAAACTTGGTGCATGTCTACTATTAGAAATTAAAAGAGAGAATCATATTATCTTAAGATGTCAAATTACTAAAAGAGAATAATACGGAAATAAATAGCGATGCATATGGGGAAGAAGGCTTTGGGTTATTAAATTTTCAATCCAATAGGATTTTTCTTTAGAGAAGAATCTATATATTCTCTTGGTGATGGGATGTCAGTGATAACAAGAAGAGATTCTTATCATATGGATAAGCGACCATAATCATAATCTTATTTTGTGGTGGGATGATAGAATTTATACATTTTTGAGTTGGGGAATACTAAAGGTGCACACACCGCTCTTGGATTCAATTTTCACATGCGTTGTTTGTGAATATGAACATAAGCAACACACCTGAATACATTGGGGGAATAGTAGAAGTGATTTGTGGAAAAAAATCTGCCAAATAATTTCAGGGACTTTTGGAGCTAATCAATTTTTAATGTATTCTATTGATTAGATAGGTTGTTGTTAGAACAACTACTCCCCAATATTGTTTTGGTATTTGTTATTGGAGAAGAGTTCTGGTAACTTTCATAAGATGACAATTTTTTTCTATCATTTCATTTTATTGGGGAGTTTCAGGCCATGAGGATTGATGGATGATACTCTATTTATGAAAGAAAAATGTTAATGTGTGATTAAAGTAATCACATGCATTATTATTTTGAAATATTTTGGTATTACTATTGAATTGAATTTTTTATCATGATAGTGAATATAAGAAGGATAATGTTGATATTCAATTTTTTTTAATAAAATATACTAAAGGCATTTGAATGCATTCATCAATGAAGGTGACAACTCTTGTAACATCAGAAATATTGAGGATATTGGAGAGCCCCCAAATATCAGAGTGAGTTGAACTAAAAGTAGCAAGGATCGGGAATTGCTTTCAGGAAAAACAAAATGATGATATTTTTCAAGTTCGCAAATCTCACAATGAAAATCTTAATATTTAAAT